TGTCCACACAATCGGACACTGCTTCGTAGTTGGTAATATAATATCAGCTGCTGGCATGCTAGGTGGGCTGGCGCGGCTCCGATGGGCAGAAAAGGGTGCTGGCTCCAATGCCGGGCAGGTGATGCTTGAAAACACAAGTGGCACTTGTGTTTTCGAGGCCTTGGAACTGAAGACAGGCACCAACCATTTTTTGGTTGGTGCCCGCGTAGAGTTCCGCTGCAGACTGCGCCGCCGAAGACACACAACTGAGAAATCAATAAGCTTCGGTAAGTCAGCTTCGGTAAGTCAGCTTCGAGCGCGATGAAGACAGAGCACTCCTTTGCAGAACACACTTCTTTGCAGAGCACCTTCTCTGCAGAGCACGCTTCTTTAAAGCCTCTCCTCTGCAGAGCACACTTCTTTGCGGGGATGGAAACAAGTCATTGGCGCGAAGTCAAATATTTTCTTTTTCTGAAGACACACAACCAGAGAAATACACGAGTCAGCTTTTGGTGAGTCACTTTTGGGCGCGGCAAGACAATCTTCTTTGCAGAGCACGCTCTCTGCAGAACACTTGCACTCTCCTTTGCAGAGACTCTTCTGCAGAGCACTTTGCAGAGCACGCTGTTTGCAGAGCACGCTCCTTTGCAGAGCACGCTCCTTTGCAGAGCACGCTCCTTTGCAGAGCACGCTTCTTTGCAGAGCACTCTTCTTTGTTGGAAATGAAGAAAGTGTACCAGGCTTGTGGTCAGCATAAGCGGACGAGTTACACGTTAAGTTCTGCTGTTGGAACTTCTGGCCGGACGGCATCAGCACGCGTTGGAGACAGCCAGCTAATCTGCAACCTGGCGCCAAGTTCAAAGCTTGTCCTTAAAGGCGCTCGGCAGCACGCGCTCCTTAGACTTCCGCCAAGGCCCCCCCAGCGGCAACGTTTTTGCAGCCAAGAGCGGACCTCAAAGCTGCCCGGGCAAAGAGCGGAAAGCCGAACGTTTTCCAACTGCAAGAAACTCCGCTACAAACACCAGCCCTTCTCCCCCCTTCCCCCCCCCCGTCTTCAATGTTGCAAACGGTAACCCGCGCAAAGCTTCTTAGACCGCGCCAACTTTTCAGCAAGCGCTGCGTAACGCATAGCTCGCCGCGTTTGTCTACAAGCGCAACATTGAAATTGGGGGGGAAGGGGGCACAAGGCGGAGTTCCAGACTTGTCAACCGCTCGCGTCTGCCATAGGCGCCTCCAGACGCTCAAGCTTAGACACGCGCTGGCGCGCTTCATGACTTCTCACACTGGCGCCAGTTGCACATGGAGCAGGAGCGCTTGTTTTTGCTGTGTTTTCTCAGTTCTTATTCCATTATCCAGTTCTTATTCAGTTCTTATTCCAGTTCTTATTCCAGTTCTTATTCACGATTTTGCTGGCAGGGCCACGAGAACCAAGCTTTCTGTGAGTCGCAAAAAAAGAGAGAATGTTTTTGCTTTTTTAAAATCGATTCACAGAAAGCTTGTTTCTTGTGGCCCTGCGAGCAAAACCGTGAATAAGAACTGGAAGAAGAACTGGAATAAGAACTGAAGAAGAATTGGATAATGGAATAAGAACTGAGAAAACACAGCGAAAGCAGCCACTCCTCCCCTTCGAGCTAGCGCAGTCCCCTGGCAGCTCCACACACGACGGGGCGAGAGCCGATCTCTCCTGGGGCCAAAAGCATAAAGATTTGAATGAGTGGGAAGCAAAACCTCAAGACACACTGCACTGCACAAGACGCCCCACGAGCGGCCCTGAATCTTGAGCCAGTGCAACATGCCTTAACGCTAGGGTTTCTTTTCCCTTGTGTTTAGGGTGTTGTGAATCGAACTACGCGGTGGCCGTTTTGCTCCTAGCCTTGACCCAAACTTGCGGTTTCATTTGAAACCCACCCACCCACCCTGCACTGCCTTATACAAGGCTCTGCAAGCATAGGTCGCAGACGCTCTGCACTTTCGTTGGTGGTCTCAGGACCGCTTGGTCTCCGGACCAGCTCTGGTCTGCGGACCAACTCTGGTCTCCGGACCATTCGGTCTCCGGACCGTTGGGCGTGGGCACGCGTGCCACGCCCTGCAAGCACTGCATTCATTTGCAAGGACACGCATTGTCTTGCCTTTTTAGTTTCACGGGGGGTCAACGCACCTCCTGTTCCAGGCGCACCAGTGCCCTGGAAGCAGTGCTACTTTCAGCAATCCCGGTAAAAAGAACTGCGGCCGCTTCGGACTTGCTTGTTCTTTTGGGTGTTCATGTTTGGTTCAAGCTAGGAGCAGTGCAACATGCCTTAACTTGGTGGTTGTTTGGTTTGTTTGGTTTGTTGTTTTCGGGTTTGTTTCCTGGTTTTTGGTCCCCCTTGCCTTTTCCGCAGCTCGCCTAATTTGGCTGTGTTGCGCCTGTTAATGTTTTGTGCTTCCACGTCGGGCCCCGGATCTTATGTAGTGCGTCGGCAGTGCCTCGAATATGCTTGGTACTCCCTTCTTGCATGATTGTACAGACTTCGTCTTTGTCCGTGTTTCTGTTTGCCTGTTTGCTTGCTTGTCTTGTTTGTGTGGTTTCTCTGTTGGTGCTGTTCGAGCCTGGGCACTTTTTGAGGCGCACGCACCTCTCGCGATGCCCGTACCTTTTTTGCTTTGTAGCCGTTTCATTCTTTTCACACAGAGTTGCTTGATGCAGACGTGCGCTCGACGCGGATCGTTGCTAAGGGGCAAAAAAAGGGCAGGCGCTCCATGAACGGGCGGGTCTTCAGCAGCCCGGTGGCCGGTTCTCGACGACCCACATGAGGGGGTTGAAGTGCGCAATGATCTCGAGGGCGCTGAGCACCAGCGCGTCGCCCTCCAGGAGCCGTCGAGGGCGCGTCGTCAGCGCGCGGCTGTATTCCGTGCAGACCGGGCTGGCCCAGACCATGTCGAAGTGCCCCGACGGAAACGTCGTGTAGTCCCAGCTCCGGATGTCGCACAGGATCGTGGGCTCAAATTTCGACACGATGTCCAGTGAGACGACTTCCCAGCCCGCCGCCTCGAAGGCCCTGCCCACCGACTTCGTGCCGCAGAAAAGCTCCAGGAGTCTCGGCGTTTTTAAAGAGCAAGATCACCGCCAGTGCGACGATAAAGACTCGCGCGTTCATCGGACCGGACTTTTTTCTCCGCGGGATAAAAAGCCGAACTCCGCAACCATGAAGCTTGCGCTCGGGCTGGACGTTACCAATGCCAAGGGGGAAATTCATGTCCATAGAGGACTCCCATCAGGGCGCGCTGGTGTGCAAGGTCGACGTGGAGGGTCGGAGTGTGCTTTGCGAGCAACACCGACCTGGAGCTGTGGACGGAGGAGGTGGAGCAGGGCGTCATCGACAACATGATCATCTTCCAGAAGCCCTTTCCGCACCGAGCTTGAGAGCCAGCTCCAGCGCGCCGTCAAGGTGAGCGCCAAGAACAAGCGCGTCAAGTGCAAGATCGACTTGGAGCGCTGCCTCTTCTGGGACCCGCGGCCGGGTCACTGACTGGTACCGTTAGGTGGATAAGTTAGCCTCGCACTTTAGTGTTCTGCGCCTTATCCAACATGGGTGTCACAGGCGGAATGCCACCGGTCTTTGTGCGCAACGCTTTTAACCGAGCCATCTTGTTTGCGTTTTGTGGCCCCCCAGAGCGGGGGCCGTTTGGGGCTTCCTGCATGTCGCCGCAATGCTAAGTTGCATGAGTGCATGCGTGTCGCTTGACACGCTGGAGCAGCTTTCCAAAAGTTTGCGCGCGTAGCTCTGGCTGGGAAAGGAGGGGTGCTTCCGGATTTGTGTCCCACCCACTCAACCCTTTTCCTTACTACCCACAGACGATGTGGTGTGTGATGGCCTTGGAAGGCTAGGCGACGCTTATTTTTTTTTGGGATTTTATCGCAGGGGATGTGTGCGTGATTGGCTTGGAATGCATTTGTCTGCTGTGTCACTAAGACTGATACCGTTAGGTGGATAAGCGTCAAGCCTTCGGGGGACATGTTCTCAAGGGTTTGATCCCTTTCAAAAGCCCACCCGCCCACCCTGTCTCCTTCGAGGTATAGCTCCAAGTCATGCCAAATCCAGCATCCTCAGATGCAGCCACCTTGAGGCCCAGGTGTGCCCTCCTCACTCTGCACTCGCATGTGCCAAAGAACTTCAGCGCAGTCCGTTTAGTGCGTAAGCAAGACTCGCACTGCTACACATACCCCCTTTTGGTTTCACACCCCAGGCAAGTACACATCTTGCATAATCCTTGGCTGAACACGCTTTGTTGGCCATGGGGGTATGATCACAGGCTCCGCATGGGGTGCAGGTGCAGGGTTGCACACGCGTTGTCAACCTTCCCGCGCCCCTGAGCCTGTTCCTCTGAGCAACTCCAGACAAAAAAGGTGCGGCCTTTTTTGGGTTACATGTTCTCCCTGTTGGCTTGAAGCAGTGAACAGGATTCTACCTTCGTTGGTTGCCGGTGCATTCTTTTGAAATCGCATGGAAAAGTCATGAACAGCATGGAAGTTGAAACAGTTTACGGCACCAATGACAATCTTTGGGCGCACATTGGCGCAAGTGGATCAAGGCGATGGCGACGCGCGACAGGCATGTTTGGACCAATACTCGTTTGTTTTATGAATCTCGGAATAGCTATAAGGCAATGGGTAAATACACTTTGGCGCATTTCATTCCGCAAAGGCTGATGTTCACCTGGCTTCAATGTTATTGGGAGATTCGATCGCGTCAAGCTAGGTTGGAGGCAGGCACCCGGTTTTAGACACCCATTTCAAAAGCCCTTTTCACGGGACCGTGACCAGGACACACTCGAGTGGTGCCCATTGGCAAGTGTTGGATTAGCGGGTAATGGTCGTTGAACAAATCCAGCAACCAAAGTTTAGTTGGTTTAATTTGCGCAATGATCAGCCGATCCTATGCACGCCAAAAACATACAACCGATGGGCACACCTGCTTCGAAAGCGGGCACGGGAGTGCTTGCAATGGATACAGACTATCACGGGCACGCGGTAAGGTGTCATGACCACTTCGCGGAGGCAGCTCGAGTTGACGAACCATTTGTTTAAAATTGTGGTTGAGTCCTCATCCTCACAATGGCCAGGAACTCAGGTTCCCCCAAAATGGTTTGCCTGGTTCAATGCAGTTGCGGAGGGTGAGTAACGGATCATTTGCTTAGGATCCGCAACCAAACATCGTGCTAGGACGAGCCCAAAAACAAAGGGAAATTTAAGTTGACAATCCCGCATTCGGTGCGACTGTGGAACAAAGGTGCTCCAGCTGATATCAGTTGGCGGCTGTGCAGGTCTTGGGTGGCAGAGAACAACTATGAGTTGCTTTCCCTCCTGAAAGGCGGGCTCTTGCTGAAGCCTTCCTTCAAGAGAAAGTTCGGGAGCATCGGAGGGAGGTTTTTTCGTGATTTGTGTGCGACATTTCCGGGGAAAGCACTGGGGCATTGGCGCACATGGCCGGCTTTTGCCAGGCTTCTTCGGACCTGGCGGCTTCATCCACCCCCGGCTGCAAGTGCGGCGCTCTGGAGGTCGGGGCCTGGTGGCCAGCCGACCATTGAAGTCCGACGAGGTGCTGCTGCAGGCGGAGAGTGCGGGAACCTCGCTTTTGACGGAGTCGAAGAACCAGGTCTCGGTTTGTAGGGCAGCAGTAGAAACTTGTTTAGACTTCCCGGACATGAATGTTCCATCGATCCATGGAAAGGTGGCGCGCCGACCCCTGGCGACAGATTTCCCTGGATACATCCCCTGAAGTTTTTGAACCTTGGAAACAACTTCCTGCGAATTTGTCATGACTCCTTTTCGCGTTTGCTTCCCACCGCGGACCGGTGGAAATTTGAAGACTCCAGGTGCCGCTGGACTGCTTGCTGCGGCACCCGTTGCCGTGGGACCAACTGTCCTGGCGGCCAGCGGTGGAGCTGAACCAGGCGAAAGCGCCTTGCGCTCGCTGGTGAAAGTGTCTCTTCGAAAGGGACTCCTTAGTCCTGGTGTGCTTCTCTCATCTCTTGTACAAACTTCAAAGAAGGGTTCGCAATAATTGAGACATGTGCAAGTGAATCAGTGGTTTGAAGCCGCAAAGAGTCAAAGAGGGACAAGCTGATAAGCTAGGTCAGATGTCTCGGCAAGGACGAGGAACTGATCGTCTTCCTAGCTGCGCTGAGAAAGTATGGTGTCTACTCTGAGTGGTTTCGCTACCTGTTGACATTGCCGGAGTGGGAGGTGAATTCCACTCTCTCTTGGCAGCCGGAGGAGGCGCGGAATTGAAACCCACGCGGTCCGATTGGGAAGAACACTTCGCATTCCCACGGAACGATATGCCGGAAGCGGAGCCAAGACACGAACATTTTGGGACAGCCTTCAACAAATATTCCTAATGCCAATGACATTTAAATCTAGAGAGAGTCTCCGGATGGCTCACTTACCTTGTAAGGGTCTTTTTACGGATATTTGTAAGAAGGCTTATAAGGAGCCTTAATAACTTAAGGGACATGATAAGGATGATAAGGAGGCTAAGGAGGATCTTGCGGCTTCCGCCCCTTTTTCAGAGAGGTGCTGGCGCTCAAGGGCACGCCGGCGCACGGCGAGGCCCGGCGCCTGCGACGGGGCCTGCGGAGCCTCTGCGACCGGAACCTGGGCCTCGACTGCGCCTCGACTGCGCCTCGAATGAGCGTTTTTTTTTTTTGATTCGGAGTTGATTGGATTGTAGGATGTTTTTCCGGATTTTGTTCATGAATTTAATGGTTGGAAGATGGATGGCCTCTCCTTTCATAAGTCAGGCGAGGAGCTGCGCTGGGCCGCAGGCCACTTCTGGAGCCGCGCCTGGCAGTTCCGCGGGAGCGGCTCCAGCTTCCGCGCGCTGGTGCCCGGAGCGTGGGCGCCTGGCGACGGGCTGAAGGAGTTGCACCCGGTGCTCGGGTGATGCGGGTGACGGGTTTGGCGGGGCCCGGTGTGCGGCCACTGTCAGGTGGATCTCATCAACTTTCACCCTGACTCCCGGAACTACTTCCGCATGGCGGGGTGCAGCCGCCTGTTCTTGCTGAGATGCTTTGGGGCGTGCAGAAGCACCAGCGACGTCACTGGGAGGGGTGCCAGGAAGAGCATCGTGTACATTGCGGGCGCGGGCCCCCTTTCCAGCAGTGCGAAACCGCCTTGATGCTTGCTCGAAGTCTTGCCGAGAGTCCGCACGTCGGAGGCCAAGACTACGCTGAAGGCGAGGAGGTCCTCGACAACTATGGAGGTGCATGGGTACACATAGGCAGAGACTTTCTGATTGCATGGCAAGAGTTGGGGGATTCTTGGATTCATGCGTGTCGTGAAGCACCTGGCTTTGCAGGGATGGCCATGAACCTCTCATTTAGGCAATCATTTTTGGGAGCCGTGATGCCGCTTTCCGCGGCTCAGCCATGAGTCTCAGGCAAAAACGACACCTTCTTGCTGACGCACTATGGCATTCTGCATGAGGAGACCAGCGAAAAAATGTAAACTACTTGTGTGTGACACCTTTTTGCCGCATCTCTTGTTCAGCAGGTTGGTGGCCAAGTTTTCCCACTACGGTTGGATTTGCTTGGAAATACCAGCGCACAAGCCTTTAGCCTTGCCGAACGCTGCTCCAAGTCCTCAACCCTCGGGATAGCGAGGCTAGCCCCGTGGAGCTATGCAGAATATATCGGATGCGAAGGCATCCGCGTTAGACTGCGAGAAGTCCCTGTGGTCTCCACTGAACTTTCAGGAAGCACGGGCTCCCTGTTGTGGGAACCGGTCTTCCGCGGCCCCAGTTTTGATCGCACGGCCGCCGCAACCTTTTCGGCCAGCGGGGACGCACAGCGCGACGAGCATAGTGATTTGCCAGGCACGACGAGGGGAGATTTGAAGAAGCCAGAGGTCTGTGAGAACTTTGCCTAGAAAAGAAAGGGGTATTGGGGACGGATTCCAACAAAACAATGACGACATTTTGCACATGGTTTTTTGCAAGAGTCTGGTGCCCGATGGCCTCGAGTACCCAAAATGGTCAAAATGGCATTTCTTTTTTCAGGATTTCTTGGGCTCTTGTGCACAGGTTGAAGAGCAATGACTATCAAGTACTCCCGCGAGTCCAAGAACCCCAGCAAGGCCGGAGGGTGGAAAAGCAGTTGATTGGAATGAGCTGAAGCGTCACGGGCTGTTGGACTTGGGCTGGCAAGTTGTCATGCTGTGAGCGCCAGGCCTGCAAAGCCCAGGGTGTCGACCTGCGAGTGTGCCCTGGCGGTGTGATGTCTTTTTCTTTGGGGCGGTCGCGGTCGCGGTTTGTTTTTCCCGAGGCACTACAAGAACACCTACGAAGTGGGCCAGGCGGGGCATTGTGCGTCGGGCACTTTTTTCGGACAACTCGGCACAGAGGCCATCAAGGGCATGACGCTGTCGACGGCCAAGAAGTATCTCCAGGATGTTTGCGAGAAGAAGAGGCTTGGGGAGGGTGTGGCTCATGGAACGGGCCCATGGGATGGACCCATCGATTGTCGCAGGTACCTTTGCTTCTCGATTCAACTTGCTGCCGGTCAGATTGCAGATTTCTGAGCCCGGCATTTCGTGTCGGGTCCCGGAGGTGCATCGTGTTCCGCAAGTACAGGGGCTGCGCCGGCCGTACCCCGCAGGCCAAGGAGTTCAAGGCGACCCAGGCAAGGCGAGCGCATCAAACATGTTCCAATGCTTCATTTTATCAAAACCCTTTGGGCAGCCGGTAGATGGGCGGCCTGGATGTACCGCCAGGGGCGCTGGCCAGTGAAGTCGTGCAAGGTGGTCCTGGGCCTGCTCAGGAGCTCACGGCGTGTGCATGTTTTACATGACGAGCTTCCTGTTGCAACTTTCAGTGCAGGAACGCTGAGGCCAACGCGGAGTTCAAGAACCTGGATGCTGAGAAGATGTTCGTGGAGCACGTCCAGGCAGAGATGGGTTTGGCTCTAGCCAAACAACTCAGGGATGGCCCCTGGGAAGATGTGACCGCAGCCGAAACTTGGGGGCGCTGTCGCTCTCTCGGCCAACCCTTGCCAAGGTGAACGCCGCGCAGCAGGGCCGCAGGCGCACCTACCGCGCCCACGGACGCATCGGGCCTTACATGTGTGGGGGCCCAGCCGGCCGGCCTGGTTTTGCACTGGGCTTTTTCAGTTTGCTTTAATGGTGGTTCACCATTCGTGGAAGGACCCCTGGCAAAGACTCATATCTTGTTGACCCTTTAATATCGCAAGCAGGAACAGGCGCTTTGCTGTGACAGACAGAAGCCCAAAGACCCCGGCAGTAAGCGCGCACTCAGCCTGCGAATTTGATTTCCTCTCTAAACCAATCCAACTTGGATATGTAGAAGGGAGGAAATCCTTGGTTTGGAGTCACAGAACATCAGAAACAGTAGGTACGCATGTGTATCAATGCAACGTGATATGCTGCAATGTAGTGAATGTGTCATGAGATGCAATGTATTGCTATACAATGTACTGTAATCTAATGACATGTATTATAATGTAACTATGTATGTAATGCAGAAGCATGCTTGAATGGATGGTTGGGCATGGGCAGCATGCACATGAATGTTTGTGCATCACTTCCATGTCTTCCCGTTGCGGGGGCCATTGTAGCTTGAAGATTTGCAAGAAATGTATTGTACTGCTAGCGTGATGTAATGTGTATATGCGTTTATGTATGATGTATGCAGTGTAGTGTAGTGTAGTGTGGTGTAGTGTAGTGAAGTGTGGTGTAGTGTAGTGAAGTGTAGTGTAGCGTGGTGAAGTGTAGTGCAGGGTAGTGTAGTGTAGTGCAGTGTAGTGTAGTGTAGTGTAGTGTGATGTGATGTAATGTAATGTAATCTATGTAATGTATGTAATGTAATGTAATGTAATGTAGTGTAGTGTAGTGTAGCGTAGCGTAGCGTAGTGTAGTGTAGGGTAATGTAATGTAATGTAGTGTAGTGTAATTTAATGTATGTGTGTGTATGTTATATGTATGTAGGCAGAGTCATTGAGTGTCGTGTGACGCAATGTAATGTCTGCCTGAATGATACATGTATTTTATGTTTTGTGATGTCATGCTATCTTATGCGGTGAATGTGCAATGGTTGAGATCAAGCGAAATGTATTGCAACACAAGGACAATACAGTTCTGCATGTATGTAGGTATGTATGTATGTATGTAGGTATGTATGTATGTATGTATGTATGTATGTATGTATGTATGTATGTATGTTTGTACGCATGTATGCATGCATGCATGCATGCATGGATGGATGGCTGGCTGGCTGGCTGGCCGGCCGGCCTGGCCCATGCATGCATGTATGTATGTATGCATGTTTGTATCTATGTATGGGCTGGCCTGGCCTGGTATGGTCTGGTCTGGTATGGTATGGCACGGTATGGTATTGTATTGTATGGTATATATATATATAAGTATCTAAACAGTGAAGTAGTTTCTTAAGATAGAGCCCTCCTTCTTCAGTTTTTGAGGGGTCAAACAAAAAGGAGCAAGCACGATGACGCGTGATGGGTTTTTCAGTGTTTACTAAAAAGCCGTCCATGGGGGGCACCACACAATACATACATGTCTAACATATACATATACATATATATATATATGTACATATCTGTGTATATATATATATGCATACACGCATTTGCACCCACAAACATGCAGAACAACATATACTTTTTGGTTTACTTCCCCGTAATCAGGTTTCCTGCTTGTGAGACGGCAGCTGCAGGTTTGCCGCAGCGGAGGAATCTCGCAACCCTAATAGAGCCCTTGGGGGTGGTTGTTTGGCTCGAATGCTTGGGGCCACTTCAGCCCCCTGGCTTTTGTTTTGTATTGTCGAAGGCATCACCCTCTTCGCCCCCTTTCTTGCCGCATGGCCATCAGGAGACCAGATTGGGTCCCAGGATCCAAGAGTGCCTCTTGCCAACGTCCCCCCCTCCCTCGGCGCGCGGCGCCCTTTCTTTTCAGCCAGCCCAAAATGAGAACAGGGCTGAGAAGGAGGCCATTTGTTGGCACCATCTGATTCAGCTGTGCAGAATGTCCTTTAAAAAAGAGCAGAGACGACCTGCTCGATGGGCAGCTTGTACCTGCGAAGAGAGGCATGGATGGATGGATGGATGGATGGATGGATGGATGGATGGATGGATGGATGGATGGATGGATGGATGGATGGATGGATGGATGGATGGATGGATGGATGGATGGATGGATGGATGGATGGATGGATGGATGGATGGATGGATGGATGGATGGATGGATGGATGGATGGATGGATGGATGGATGCAGATGCTCAGAGCCTTCTTGGGGTAAATGGAGTGCGGCACGGGACATCACAGAAGAGTGCAGACATGCGTGGCTCAGGAATTGCCCTTGCCATGTGGAGATGATTCTGTCGGAGAAGGAGGAAGCAGTTGAGAAGGCAGCAGAGGTGCGGCTGCTTGTCGGGGCCGTCATGCAGTTGGCAGGGTCCGGGACGGGCGGCTTTTCAACAGGGAAACTGCTTTTAATGGGTTTGCTTGAGATTCAGCCGGCCCCCATAAAATTGTTGTGGCGCATGTTTCCAAGGAATTCCCTACCACAAACCGTGACACAGCAATACCCATTTTGCCAATTTTGCCATGGCCCCGGGGCAAGCAGGATTGGGAAGGCATTTCCCCGCCTCCTTTTTCTGCGCGCATGCGCATACGTCGGGCGGACTCCACGGGTTCTCTAGGATGTGGCCCCGAAGAAGTTCACGCGGAGGCAGTTTGCCAAGCTCAAGCTCAAGGCGACAGCTCAGACTCACCGCACCCACGCACCGGGGAGCTGTGTGTTTGGCGTCCTCGCACCGGGGCCTGGTGGTGTCTCTTTCTTGGAGTTTGTGGAATGGTGTGCAATGCCTTGGCATTGGTATTTGGTGAGTTTTTTTTGGCGCTGCTTGCTTCATGCGGGCCGATCTGTTCTGGAAGCACTTGGGTTGCTGTGGACGAGTCGAGCGTGAAAAGAGCCCTCTATTTTCTTGGGAATCTCAATCCTGAAGAGGTGCAAGCCAAGAGGAGTGGACCTTTGGTTACGGCGGGGATGTTGGTTCACGTTTTCCCCCTATCCCCGAGCCCTTTTTCGGTTCTTTTCCGAAGCTTGTCAGAACCCAAGGGTCCAGCCAGAGATTTGCCTCGTCAGCGATGGGATTTCACAGGTTGGTGGCGACAAGTGAGAGCAGTGGACTATCAGACCTCGTGGCGCGGCGTGTGGCAAGAAAGTCTCGGGCACGTTTTTGATTTGGGGTGATGGGGTGATGGTAGCGAGCCTTTTAAATGCCTGTTTCCTTTGAGTTCCTCTACAGGAAAGCACCGAAGCCGGGGGCGGGAGACCCTAATTCTGAGACCTGCTCGTTTTCACAGCAGAGTTGTGCCCTAGTTTCCTTTTTCCAGTGCTCAGATTATTGTTAGAGATGAGAGCAGCTGTTTTAAAGGCCTACTTCGGCGCTGCTTACACGTGACTTGTGCTCTGGCTGCACATTCCCAACATGAACTTTTTGGACCACTTTGCTTTGGGATGGTCGACGGTTCCTGTGAGCTCTTCGGGGCTGGGGGGGCCGAGATGAGTTTCGGGGAGGACCCTGGCCGGAGCTACGCTCATCTAGAGCTGCCCCGTGTCAGCGACCTCCGGGACAGCATGATCACGGCCGTCAGGCGGGGAGACAATCCGCGCCTTTCTCACGGAGCACTGATGCGATCTTTGCTTTTGTGTGATAGTATTTCCCCATTCCGCAAAATGGCAGTGGTGTCGTCACTGCCCCCTTTCCTTGAGTTCTAGTCAACTCACCAGACATCTCCTCCAGGCCAGACCGTCAGCTGAAGATTTGGCCGGGAGGCGCACCGTTTGGTTGACGAGTCGAATCCCTTTGGCCATTGAAAGCTTCTATTCAGGTTCAGAGACCTCGAAACCCAGATCTTAGAGCAAGAGAGACGGAGAGGGAGAGAGAGAGAGAGAGAGAGCCGTGACTCGGCGGAAACAGACTGCAAACCGGCAACTCGTGTTGTGAGCAGCATGTGTCACCCGATGCGGGTTTCGCGCAGATGTTCGCAGGTATTGTGGATGGTGCCAACCTGTCCAGGGCCCAGCCGAGTTCTAAACCATTTGACGGTTGCGGGGGATAGACGGAGATTTGGCTTCCCCTGAAACTATATAATACTTTGTTGTGTGACCGGATTTGCCAATACCAACCAACGCCTCAGGAGTTGTGAAGAGAGGAGGCCCGTATTGACCCTTTGATTGAGAAATTCATGTGTTTTGAATCCGGGATTACCCACTTGCAAGAGTCACCATTGCAAAGGAACAGGTCCTGAGCAGGTGGCTTGAGGCAGACCCAACCCTTGCTTCTTGTGCCTGAAACTCGGTGTGTCTCTTGTTTTGAGTCTTGGAAGATCAAGAACTCTGGGGGCAAAAATACGTTGGACATTTGTGGAAGGGTATTTTGGACCAGGTGTTGCAACTTCTTTGCCATAGGCTTCGCCTCGCGTTGGCGCCAGAGCTGAGTGCCCGGGCGTGCGAGCTGGACACCGATGTTTGAAAGTGTTTTCATTGGGTAGCCGCTAAACAATGGTTCCGTGGCGGTTCTGCTAGTTTATTTTTCTTGGAGACAGTGCTTTGGGGTGGAAAGCCTCAACAAACACGTGTTGCTTTGGTTTGGGGTGGGGCCGTGGAAGGAGAAGGTTGTGGACTCTTTCATGTTTTGCTGGGGGAACTTCGAAGAACGTTGAGGTCGCAGAGAGGGCGCGCTTTGAACAAGTCCCTCAAGGCCACTCAAGGCCACTCAAGGGCACCTTGAGCCTTTGAGTAGTCTCGGGTGGCCTTGGGTGGTTCTGGAGTAGCACTAGAGGAGCGCTAAAGGAGCACCAGAGCACCAAAGGGGCACTGGAAGGAGCACTACTGGAGTTCCAGAGAACCACAGGAGCACTAGAGGAGCATGAGAGGAGCAAGTAGGAAAACAACCACACCAGAGCAGCAAGAGAGGAGCACCAGAGAGCACCGGAGAAGCACAGAGGATCACTAGTAACGCACTAGACACATGCTAGAGAAGCTTTGGAGGAGCACGAGAGGAGCATTACAGGAGCACGAGAGGAGCACTACAGGAGCACCAGATGAACGCTAGGCTAAAGGAGCACTGGAGGAGCACTAGAGGAGCACGAGAGGAGCGCTACAGGAGCGCGGGAGGAGCATCGCGCGAGTCACCGGGAGTGGGTCCTTCTTGCTGGGGCAAAAGGAGCGCACTGCCGATGCGCTGCCTTTGACGTGATGAATGAAAAGTGGATCGTGTGGTGCTCTTCCAGTGCTTCCAGTGCTCCTCTAGTGCTCCTTTGGTGCTCCTCTGGTGCTCCTCTGGTGCTCCTCTGGTGCTCCTCTGGTGGTACTCTGGTGCTCTTCTAGGGGACCCTCACGTTGTCTGCGCAAATTGTGGCTTTTTGCGCCATTCTGTGGCGCAGAGTGCAGTTGGCGCCCAGGCGCCTACGATGCTGAGAAGCTGCTGTCGCGCTCGCCTCCACGCTTGTCCCCAAGTGGCAATGAATTTTAATGAGGAACCCCCCTGAAAAGTGGTTGGTGGACACAGATCCCCACCTACATGATGTCCACCAAAGGGTCCCTAATTAAAATTCATGCCCAAGTGACAGGTGCGCACTTTTGTGGATGTCTCAGCTGCTAGCCATCCCGCGAAGTGGCTGCTCGCCTTCCGAGGCTGGGGCCTGCGGGGGGAAAGGGCAGTGCTGGCCTGGCTGGTGGCGAGCTGCCAACAGCAGCTGGATAGGCCGAGCAAGGGTTGTGGCGTGTTTTTGGCGTGTTCACTATGCAAAACCCTGGGATAAGAGGGTCCCAAAAAGGGGAAAAGCCTTGCTAGCCGTACGTTTGAGCGATTTCCACTCTTTCCCCGGCCTCCCACACTGATCAGTTTTCGGTTTTCCCAAACAAGATCTTTAACGCCTTTGGAAATTTTGAAGAGTGAAGATGAAAGAATCTCGAGACTATCGTTTGCGAGTCTTGCTTTAAGCCAGGAGCTTCCCGGCGGGATGTTCTTGAACATTAATTGAAGTGGGTTTGTGTGGTCTGGGAAAAGGCTGGGTGTTGGTTTAAAAAAGCACGTAAGAACCAGCAAACTTATGGCTGTACCAAAGCTGAAAGAAGGGCAGATGGTTTTCTCATAGACTCTTGACCATTGCTAGACATCTTCAGTGTTCTGAAGTTGCCATCAGCTTTTCATACATTTGGTGTGTGCCCTCAGCAAATGTTTGCACTATTGGTCTCAGCACCTCAATCCAAGGGCAAGATAATGCTCATGTGAGTCGCCACGCAACACGAATTCATGAAGCACCTTGGTTGTGTGCCACTACACTCCTTACTTTCTTGAATACTTGAGAAGGTCCTAGCATGTACCAATACTAATGCATCATGCACTGTTACTTCAAACATATCGGACACCGACAAAGGCAAAGGGGCAAAAGCAATGGCTTCGCTTCGTCTGACAATGCACAATCCATGGGCAGAATGGTCAATATGGTTCCGGCCAGCAAGGGCGGAAGTCGGATCAATAGCCTAGTTAGCGTGGCTTTGCAGCTTGTCCAATGTCTGATGGGGATCCTAGTGGGCTTGGTTCCTAATGGAGGTGTGTGTGCAACAAAAGTGTCTTTGGCTGGCAGATCGCGGCAATTCGGCCATAAAATGCGAGAATCCTGAGGAGGACTCAGCTTTACTGCACTGATCCACAACTGCCAGGCAGAACGCGGTGGTCCGTCTTGGACAATGCTGGCTCGTGGAGACTTACCGGGCGCCGGCGCAGCGATTGGGGGGTTGCGCAGCGACTCAAGAGAACCTTTGGTTTCCAGTGGGTCGCACATGATGGAACACCCGTGACAAATTTGGGCTACTCAAAAGTAGGGGACCCGAGAAGGTTCACTTCCGTTTGGTTTGCCTTTGGAACCTAGGTTGGTTCGTGCAAAGCTTCAAGGGTCACTTTTTCCGTCTGAGTAGACCTCTCGTTTCGCGTTCTGCAACCGAGGCTCGGCTGGCCGGGCTTTGGCATCAATGTGCCGAGGCACAAAGTTTTGCGCTTCCATCGGGGTTCGCCAGTCAGGTCAAGCAGTCAACGGTCCCAAGTCCGAAGGAACCGAAAGTCCGAAGGCCTATCCAATCTCATCTCCTCTCCTTTTCTCTTTCTCATCTCAACTCCTCCTTTTGCGAGGAGGCGGGAAGGCGGCTATGGCTGCCCAAGCCTCAGCGGGGGGACGCTGAACTTGCAGTTCTGAGGGGATCAACTTTGCTTTAGACAGAGAATGGTTTTTGACCTGAAGCGATAGGAACTGAGGCGTGGCCGTTGTCGGAAGCCTGTGCGACTTTGGGCGTTTTGCCCGGCAGGTGAGCTTGCTGTATCTTCGACAGCTCTCACATTTAGACTAGTCATAGTAACTTTGAAGCAGATTGCACGCACATTTTCATCGCGGGCTGCTTTCGAAGCACGCGCAGGCACAAGCCGTGCACCGCGGCCAGAACGTGCAGAACATGCACAGCACTCCCACACGGACCACATTCGCACCAATTCACGTGCAAGCAGGCGCTTGCACGCACACCAATAGACGCACAGCATTGCAAGCACATCTTTTCACGCACACATTTTCACGCCCGCACTTGCCACATGCGGTTGCACGTAATTGGCATGCACTTGGCCGCGTTCGCGCTCCTGCGTGCTTGCGCTCCATTTGCGGGGTTGAAGCTTTGAAGCCGAGGTTGAATGAGACAGATTGTGGTCCAGGTTGGGCTTTTGAGCAAAGGGCGAGCAACTTGCCGTTGGGCGGTTTGCATCATATTTGCCTACCATGGTCAGCACGAGTTGTGCTTGGCAAAGCACGAAATGGGCTACCCGTGTTTGACCTGCCAGGCAGCAGCACGGAGGCGCAGCTTCTGGGTGTGTGGGTTGGGGGGGGCTCTCGATTTTCTTGCCTCAGGGTTTAAGAACACCTCTTGTGTTTGAATGGCCACTCTTGGGGTTGCGGCCTCTTTGACTCAGAAGTCTGCAGCCTGGTGGCTCATACCGCACTTGCGACTGTCAGACCAAGGGTTCTGATGGTTGCTTTTACAGCCACCGCCGCGGGTGGGGAGTCGGCGCAGATGGAGCTTGGCCGACTCCTGGGCACTGGCGCCACGGCGATGGTCGTGGAGTGTGCCGTGACAGAAGTTCAGTCTCGTGAGTTTCGCGCGCTTTGCATTTGGCTAGGGCCTGGCCATGTGGGCCAAGGTACGACTTTGGATGCGGATCTCTGCGATTGCAGCGCGGCCAAGATTCATCAGGCCCTGCATTGTGAGGCCCAAAAGATCCCCATAGCCCCAGGGTCCACTTGGCCCTGCTAGGCTCGATGCGGCGACAAGGCGCCCTCACTGGCAGTCCATGAAGCGAAGATGATGAAGGAGGCAGCTGGCCCGCATGTGCCTGAGCTGCGGGGCCTGTTTCTGATGCAGACACAGGCAGCGGGCCAGTTTGTGAAAGTGACTCGGAAGCCCAAGCAGCGGGCCATCGTCCCGGAGTGCGACGCGAATGAGAAGCAGAACGTGGCCTTTTTGCTGATGGAGCGCTGCGACTGCTCGCTGCTGCACCTCATGAAAAGCCCCTTCGCGGAATCGGAAGTGAAGTTCACTTGCCGAGGAATACTACAGGGTCTGGAGCACTTGCATAATCGTTGCATCATCCACCGAGACATCAAGCCAGGCAATATCCTTCTGACCGATGGTGGCCGCCGGGTTGTACTCAGCGACTTGGGCTTGGCATTGCAACTCTCCGAGGATGTGGTGTTGGCGGAGGGTGGCACTCGCGGCTACAGGCCTCCAGAAAGCATCAGGCGATACCAGTGGAGCAAGGCATCCGACATATTTTCTCTCGGCGCCGTGGTGTACGAACTCTTGTTTGATACCCCTGCCTTTGCGAGGGAGACATCCGTGGCAACAGATGCTGCCACGCTTTGTGGTCGGCTTCCTGAGCAGTCCATGCTAGGCAAAGGGTGGCAAAGATATGAATGGGCACATGGCAATGCAAAGCCCACAGCGACCAGGAAATCTTCATGAAGAACACATGGACTTTCCAGGCTATTCATGCTAGTCCTGAAACCTTCGGGAACAAGAGGAAGCACATAAAGTGATACTTTGTCACAGTTGGGGTTGCATACTAGCCTGCGAGTCACAGCTTGAAGGGACAGTGCTTGAGCTAAAGCTGTCAAAGCGACTTCGTGTTTGTCCAGCTAGTAGCGTTTGGTGAGCGGAGAGGGAGAGGTCTCTGAAAATCGCCAGAGAAGGGAGTAAGTTTTGCAGGTCGCTCAATGTTATGGAGTTTTTTGGTTGTGCCGCATTTGTCAGGCAGGTCGGAAGCCGCCTGCCAGTTTGTGCCGCCCCTTCTTTCCTTCCATGCACCAGACCGCCCCACTGCAGCCGGAGCATTGCAGAGTGCATGGCTTGCAGATGGCGCTGCTCAGATGCAGAAATTGACTGTTCGTCTGAGTGTTATTTAAGGGCTGCCGCCCTGTGCCGCCGGCCCCTGCTTGCTGACAGGGGACGTTGTTATGACAATTATGACTATGCATTTTTTGTCGGGTTTAACGGCACACGTAAAGCATATATGAAAAAGAAGAGCAGCACGATAATGATGATGTTTTTGATGATGTATTTGTTTACCCAACATTAGGGATGCTGATAATTATTACTATGCATTCGCATTATCGCCAGCAGTTATGATGATAATTGTTACTTTGCATTTTTTGCATCACCAGCAGTTGTTCTGATATTTATGACGACGCATTCCTTGCATCTCAAACAAGCCACTGCGGGACAAATTCGCATGACAATAAACACCTCATTGAATTTTACAAAAAGTGCCCCGGGTGTGTGGAAACTCGGGCAGGAAAACCATGTTGGGGGCCTCTATTTTTGTTCTCCAGACTTCGAGGTATTGCTGTGGATGCGAAGTGTGGACTTTGTGTCATCGCTCGTCTTCGCGAGAAGCAAGCAGTTAGGAACACCTCGTGATGCAATGAGATGGTGATGATTTGATGATCATGTGATGATGATGAACTATGCACCCCCGGCATCACCAGCAGTTATTGTGACAAGCATGACTACGCATCCCCTGCATCTCAGGTCAGGTCTAACGGCACACTTGGGACGTATGTGAAAAAGAAGAGCGCCACGGTTTTGATGATGAATGATGAGGAACATGAGGATGAAAATGATGATGATGATGAAGATGATAAAGATGATGATGATGAACATGATGATGAAGAAGAAGATGATGATGATGATGAATATGATCTCATCATCTTCATCATCACTACACATCCTCAGCATCACCAGCAGTCAACGTTAACTGCTGAGGATGCGTAGATGATGAACATGATGAGCAACATGATAAAAATGATGATGAACATGATTATGAAAATGATGATTGATGATGATGAATGATGATGAACATGATGATGAAATGCCTCATCATTCATCATCATGTTCATCAGCATCATCATCATCATCATCATCATGTTCATCATCATTTTCATCATCATTTTCATCATCATCATCATCATTTTCATCATCATGTTCCTCATCATGTTCATCATCAAGTGTCACCTGCTGGTGATGCTGAGGATGCGTAGTGATGATTATCGTCAGGATGATGATGATGGTCCTTGAACATGATATGAAAATGATGATGATGATGATGATGAACATAATGAAGATGAACATGATGATGATGATGATTGATGAACATGCTGATGAGCATGTGGTGAACATGATGATGATGAACATGATGGTGATGATGATGATGAACACCACCATCATCATTTTCATCATTATGTTCATCATCATCATGATCATGTTCATCATTCATCATCATCAATCATCATTTTCATCACCATGTTCATCATCATTTTCATCATCATGTTCCTCATCATGTTCATCATCATCATCATCCTGATGATAATCATCACTACGCATCCTCAGCATCCCCAGCAGTGATCATGATCATGAACATGATGATGAACATGATGATGAACATGATGATAATGATGATGATGATGATGATCATCTAATCATCTAATCATCATCATCATCATCATCATCATCATTTTCATCATCATTTATCATCAAAACTGTCATACGTTCCAAGTGTGCCGTCCTGACTGGAAATGCAGAGGATGCGTTGTCATGATTGTCATGATAGCTGCTGCTGATGCTGGGGATGCATAGTGATGACGTCAATATGCATCCCCAGCATCAGCAGCAGAAATCAGACAACGCATCCTCTGCATTTCCAGTCGGGTCTACCGGCACACTTGAAACGTATATGAAAAAGAAGAGCGCCACGGTAATGATGATAATCCGGATGCTGTGAACCATCACCCAACATCAGTGGTGACAATAATCATCACTAAGACAAGGACAAAGACAAGCCCTTCCCATGCGTCTTCCGGCTCCCCTTTGGAGAAAGGGGTCGGCGGATTTTGCTTTGCTGCAGCTGTGCTGGCAAGGGACATGGACACAGCAGTCTTCCTTGGAGCGTTGCACGCATTCTTTCTACCTTGTGTTGTTGTTTGTTCTTGTTCGTTGCACGTGCAATCTTCATTTTGGAAGCGACCCAGGAGTGTTTGGCCAGCAAAGTCAGCTGGCTTAAGCGGCGTCAATTGGACATATCATCTGGCAGCTTAGCGCAGTTCTTGACCATCACGCATGCCAGGAGCTGCCCCCAGGCCAGCGAAGTGAAGTCAAAAGAGTTCTGGCTGTCAGCCTGTGCCCGCGCCCGAACTCTACCTGTCAGGAGGTGACGGCCAACAAGCCAGCGAGTGTCTCGCGCAAGATCACCAGCCTTACCAGGACCGGGTTGAACAGACTAACGCCGCCCAGTGCGATCCTGTTACTCAGTGTCTGCGAGCCATTACAAGCGTTCGAGTTCAGTGTGCTTGTGCGCATGTGGTCGGTAAAGCTTAGCAGATGATTGATTCAGTAACTTGAAAATAATAAACTCACCACAAACAGTGGTAGATTACATGCATGGTTGTCCTTGTTCCTACCTTCATTCAATGTGTAGGGACTCAGCTGTGAGGAGGTGTGTGATTGTGTCCAGCGCGCACACAAAGTACAACCTTCTCAGAGGTACAAACGTCACTGTAGCGCGAATGTGTCGATCTCTTTTTCTCTCTTTTTCTCTCTTTTTCTTGCTTTTTCTCTCTTTTTCTCTCCACTTCCCTCCTTTTCTCTCTTTTTCTCTTTTTCTCTTTCTCTCTTTCTCTTTTTCTCTCTCTCTCTCTCGCTCTCTCTCTCTCTCTCTCGCCCTCTCTCTCTCTCTCTCTCTCTCTCTCTCTGTCTCTCTGGCGGCGTTCGGACTTCCAAGCCGGGCGTTAAACACCGGCAGCTGGACTGACCAAGAAAGGAAAACAGCGGTGCCATGAACTGAATCCATTTTGGTCAAGCATACCAGGCATTGAGGCCTGACAATGAAACTGGAAGCCTTTTGTCGGTACAAGCAATTGGGTGATTGGCGAGCAATTGCTTCGAACAAATCGTGTGTGGGAGAACTTTCTGGGAGGTTTTCTGATCCTTGTGCTGCCAAGTTGTTTTCATTCCTGTGTCACTCTGTTGTCGTGGGCCGTTGGGCCAGTCCCGTTGGCCCGCCTGAGCCTGTGGGCCTGTGCGAGCACATGACCCGTGGGTGCGAGCACATGACCCGTGGTCACATGTGTTGCTTTGGTCTATTCTTGAGTGTTGCTTTGATTGTTTGATTGCTTGTGCTGCTAGTTTTGTTTACACTGCTGTTCTGCTTGCTTCATACTTTGAATGATGCGGTGGTACCCCCGGATTTCCATGTTTGTTTGTTCGATTGTTTGCTTGTTGCTGGGTGTTTCCCTTTTTCGTGTGTATCTTTGTTTTTTTCGCTTGCTATCTTGCCTGCTTGCCTGCTTGCTTGTTTGCTTGCTTGCTTGCTTGCTTGCTTGCTTGCCAACTTGCTTTCTCAACTTGCTATCTAGCTCACTGCCTAATTAGCGACCTAGCCAGTTAGCGAACTAGCTGGGTGAACTAACTTTTGATCTGGCTAACCAGCTAACCAGCTAACCAGCTAACCAGCTAACCAGCTAACTAGCCAATTCGCCAAACCGCCAACGAGCTGGCTAACGTGTCAACTCGCAAACTTTACTTTGCATGCAGGAACTATTTCCATTGTTACCGAAGCCAAGAGCAAATACGTGCATGCCCATGACTTGGGTCTGCAGTTCGGCTTCCTGACTGGCAGGTATGATGTAGATAGGCGTACATGAGGTCTGGTCAGAATTGCTAGTAGTCCATAGTTCATTTGGGAGGGACATTGGGGAACTCACTACATTTCAAAAACATATCAGGGTGCCATGTCCGCTGGGAAGAAGTAGTTTTGACCGTGGCTCATACTCTGAAGACTGCAAGCGAGTCGTAGTGCCGCAAAGCGCTTGATCGCCTAATGTTCTTGGCCCTTGGACATTCGCAACTTCGTTTTGCCTTCGAAGAGTCTTGCCCAAAAAGGTGTCGTGCGTGGGGGGAACCCCTTCCAATGTCGATAGGAGTTCCTTGGGCGTGGCAGCGTCGATGTTCTCCTCCATCTTCAGCTCGAAGCGACCCGAGGAGGAGAGAAGGAAGGCGGCAGGGAGTGGCTGGTAGGGCTTCGGACATGACAGTTCAGTTTGGGGGTGATTGCCTCAATCGTCACCGAGAACCAGTCCGGTTGTAACCGCTGGACGTCGGGAGGTGAGCAACCACGGTGTCGGCGGTATGTCATTCGCAGGTTGAACACTGGATTTGTTCAAACTGGAGCTGCCCCACGAGGTTTGTTAGAACCCCTCCTTACAGGCAGGAAAAACCTGGGTCCCGGTCCTGAGGCCAAGGTTTGCTTTTGAAGGCCGGAGGATGCCTTTTACAGCATCAGTCGAGAGGGCACTGCGCTTCCAGACTTGACCAGATTCGAACACAGAACAAATAGCTTGCTGAGTGCCGTCATGCGCTGTTCAAGAGCATGCATGCGCGAAGGCGACTTAAGTTGGAAGGCCCACAAAGCCCGAGTCACAGTTGGGCTAAAATCACAAAAGATGGACTTAGGGTTGTTGATGTCCGTTGTCGACAGATGTTTCTTTGCGAGCCGTCGCTTTGGGCCGGGGGGAAACAGGTCAGCAAGGCGAAATCCGAGAAGTTCGACGCCATATTCTTTCCCTGACCACCGGAGCAACCTTGGGAGGTTGGGGCTTTGTGGTCGGTGAGCAGCTTGGCATTCTAAGTTGACGCAAAGACACCTTTGGATTTTGTTGGCGGGGAAGTGCCAGCGCCGTGCTTTGTGGCAGAGTGTCATTCCAACACCTGCAGTGCGAGTGTTGCAGAATGCCCTCGTTTGCCCAACCACCCTCAATCAAGTGAATAGATCCCATATTGGCTTGCAACGCCCTGACATCACACCCGACATCACGCTCTTACCCTTAAACTCAGCCTAGATCCAAGCCAACCTGCCAAAACGCCAGCACACCAAGCCTCAACCCACTCACACCGCACAGTCAAATCAATCTATTCCGCAACCTCCAACCCCAAACGGAAAGTAATGTTTGATCGCCACACCACCCATGATCCTTGCACCAATTGCCCTCCAGTCACTTTTTGTGCAGACAGACACCCCAATTGAAGGTGTCACAATGGTGCGCACTATTGCTTGCTGGTTGACGAAATCGCTCACGATGTTGTGCCTGGCTTGAAATGTTTGTTGTGGGCCTGCAGATGTAGAAAGCACATATCCAACTTGTTGGGTCAACCGGGGGGGGTTGCTGTGCTTCGAATAGTGACTTCTGTAAGCCACATCCATCTGCTTCAAGCCAGTGTGCAACTCACCAGGCGGGACAGTATACTCATGCGGCCGCCTAGCCGCAGAAACACGAAGCAAACATATCATTTTCTTTGCGATACGCAGAAGCAAGGGTCTTGAAAGTTCGGTGAGTGCTGGCCATGGTGTAACTTTGGTCATGTGACTGTTCCCTCCCATTGGTACAGAGCTTATTTCGCTGAGGCTGTGAGCCAAGATGGTCCGTTTGGTGAGAGCCACAGGGACTTTTTGTTTTATTTTTGCCAGCAACACTCGGCAGTGTCGAGCTGTTTTTGGCGACCTTGCACTGAGCCTTCGAAAGCGGAGAATTGTCAATCCCCGTGGCACAGTCGCTGATACATTGTTGTGATTTCACTGCCTTGGAGAAAGGAGGTCAGCCATTTTTCCATTGTGTTTTTGGCTCGACCCGCTTAGCCGGGCTCCACGTAGGTTTGAAGCAGAGCAGAGTCGGCTGGACACAAACGGAGCATTTCATGACACGAATGACTCGAAAGACTCAAGCAAAGCCACTAGTCCCTTGACGTGAAATTGCCGATGCTGATTGTTCCAGACGACGTATTGCGTGGATTGCATGGATTGCACTCACGAGGTTGACCTGAGGCAGTTGCAAGTTGCCTGAGCATTTGCATATGCCCAGCATTGGCCAAAAGATGGTGACACTTGCCAGCAACACTAAGAGGTACCGGGCGGTGTTTCAGAGCTTCATCCGCCGGTACATTGTCGTGGTTCTAGTGTTGCAGCGAGTCGGCTGGACATAAACGGATCATTTCATGACACGAATGACTCGAAAGACTCATTGCCGATGCTGATTGTTCCAGACGACGTATTGCGTGGATTGCATGGATTGCACTCACTAGGTTGAACTGCGGCAGTTGCAAGTTGCCTGAGCATTTGCCCAGCATTGGCCAAAAGACGGTGACACTTGCCAGCAACACTAAGAGGTACCGGGCGGTGTTTCAGAACTTTATCCGCCGGTACATTGTCGTGTCGTGGTTCTAGTGTTGCAGCGCAGAGTCGGCTGGACATACACGGAGCATTTCATGACACGAATGACTCGAAAGACTCAAGCAAAGCCACGAGACCCTTGACATGAAATTGCCGATGCTGATTGTTCCAGACGACACATTGCGTGGATTTCACGGATTGCATTCATGAGGTGTACCTGAGGCAGCTGCAAGTTGCCTGAGCACGCCAAAGAACCGTAAGTTTTGCCAGCAACATTCGGCAGTATCGAGCGGCGTGTCACTACATGATCCGCCGATACCTTGTTGGGGTTCTGTTGTTGCCTTGGACAAGCCGATGGAGGATGGTCAAATTTTCTCGTGGTTGCTTCAGACTCGACCAACTTGGTCGTGCCTCGCACAGGAGTGACAGAGAGTCGGCCGGACATAGATGAACATGTAATGATATTGATATGAACGATTCTTGCACTGAGTCCGCAGTTGCAAGTTTTTTAACAGGGGCAAAGCCCCGTTTCATAGTCGAAACGGGTCAGCTCAGCAGCTCAGCACAGCTCAGCTTTCGACCGCCAAAACAGGAGCTGAGCGCGGGCGCTTGGTTTTGCGGTTGGAAGCTTGATGTTTTTGCTTGTCCGAAACCGCAGGTGTCCCGGTCATCTACCTGGCTGCAAGCTCAGTGCGAGGGCGACCTTGCCAGGATTGGCAACTTTTGTCCTTGGAACGCTAAAGCCGGTCCTACTAAGGAAGAATCCCCAAAGCCCTCTGCAAAATGGCGAGATTCCTGCAAATGGATCATTTTCCATGCATACTGACATCATAAACCACCTACAAACTGGCGTTTTGTCCGTCCACAGTGACAATGTTTTGATTGATTACTTGATTTGGTCAATGGTGCTTCTTGTGGCTCGTTTGTCAAAGGAAGAAAAGAAGAGAGTTTCTGGAGTACTGGCGAGAATGTGAAGGCGAGCTGTTGTTTAAAAGTGAGTGAGAGCAGAAGGAGAAGAGAAGAGGAATAAAAAGAACAGAAGGCTACATAGATAAGAGCAGGAGGAGAAAAGCAGAAAGGCGAAGAGAAGAGAAAGGACGAGAAGAAACGAGAGGCAAAGTAAAGAGGTGATAAGTGCTCGGATTGCGTCAGCACTTGGATATAGAAAGTGCTCAAAGTGACTCAGAGCTGCGCAGGGTGCGTTGCCTCTGCAGGCCGTCACTCAGAGTCGCGTTGCAGGGTGCTGCTGCAGGCCGTGAACCAGAGTTGGGCAGTGTGCTGTTGCAGGTCTGGCGACGCCCCTTCTTTTTTTCTCCGGGCTCGGACGGGAGCGGAATCACGACGTGGGTCGCGTGACAGGTAGCGCTCCGGCGCAGCACTTTGCTCGTTTGGCGATCTGATTCCGTGCCAGGTTAACACTTTTCCAGGTCAGGTGCAGATTTCGTGACAGGCGCGTTGCCAGAAGGGCCTTCGTTTGCCTGCAGGCTGCGGGCGCGCGTGTTCTACCAGACTTTTGTGGGTCCTGGCCCCCACGCTTTGCTAGAAAGATCAAGGGCTGCTGTGTGTCTTCAAGCTCGAAGAGCGAACCCGTAGGGTATACCACTCACGTGTTTTGCTGCGCCAGCATCTCCTTTTCGCAGCCGTTTGGCGCATTACAGGTCAGCGTGCAAAATCTGTTCACCTCTTGCGAGCCGTCAGCAAACACTTTGATGGCGTTGCAGCTAATTGCTGCGAGATTGCAGGGAAGAACCCCACCCCCCCCCCCCGCAAGCAGGCTGTTGGCGCAGTATTTCGACGACTTCGTAGAAGTTGTGGGGGTGGCAGGATTGTTTCCGAAGTGCTTTCCCAGCACCCTGTGGAGGAATTGGCTTGAGCAACAGCCGGCAGTACAACTTCACCAAGGTAAGTTGAATGGCTCATATTCGGGAAGAGCCGAGCAGAGCGCCCAACGCGCAGATCCTTTGGGTGAAGAGGTTTTAGCCAAAGGTCCTGCAAGAGTTTGGAGTGGCAATCTCTTGCTTTTTGCACGCTCGAGCCCTTGTCTCTTGGCGGGGGCGTGTTGGCGTGCGCTTTGTTGGAGCAGCCAGAGAAGTTAACTGCAGTGCGACTTGCTGAGTAGAGGCTAAGAGGAGACTCTTACGCCTTCATGTTCCTTTTGCAGGCCTTTTTGCAAATGGTTGCGTAGGTGGCCCTGCACTTGTGGCCGCAGGCGAAAAGGCTAAAGCCCCCGCACTGCGTCAGGAGCCCCCCCGGACCACGAGAATGTTGTGTCAGCGGTTTGTAGCCAACAGGCCGATAGCCTGTTTCAATGGCCGTCTCTCTCTTGCTTGCCTGATGCAGTCAAGGTCTTGCGCGGATTGCCGACATGCTACGTAGGCCTAAGCGTGAAGCGCCGTGACGAGCGTGATTGGTGGCGCGCTGTGGCTATTCAGGCGAGGGGCCTCCGATTGAGCTTGTTGAGCTAGCGCGCTATACTGCAGCGTGGCTCTTTCTCCTCAGGTGCTATCGGGCTCTTCGATTTGATGGATGTTACGGGGTGCTTGGAAGACCCCACACAAAGAACTTGCAGTGAATTTCTCTGAGCAGGAGAGGCAATCAGAGCCCGAGCACTTGAAAATAGGTGAGAATGGTTCAGTGATTTCTGCAGCGGTCATGGAAGATTTCATCCACTGCAGTGGCGCTTGGGCGGGTGCAGCAACCAGCTAACAGATCATCTCACGCACGGATGGAAAACAGAACCCGAGCACCTGAGTTCAGGAGTTACGACGAAAACGACAAGCTTTCAGCTTGCTGTGATTTTTGTTTTTGCGAGCCGTTTAGCGGCGTTTTGTGCTGCCATGGGTGCGGAGCGCCAAGGTTGCCTGGATCTGGGCGTCGATACGAAGGCTCGCGTACAGGTGCGGGGCCCGCAACTTCTGGGGGCTGGCGCGAGATCCAAGGTTTCCGGCAAAACACTAGGTTCCCCATGTCCCTTTGAAAAAACATGTATTTTTTGATCCTGGCTCACGTAACTTGGTGCTTTTGGTTGAGGCCGGGCCACCTCTCTACTTCATCGGGCGATTGCTTGCCATGTACCCCTCGTTCAATACGATGTTGAATCTTCAGAAATGTGTGTGCATCCGCGCAAGTGCCGGCGTTGCCCCACCTGCATGTTTTTTTCTTCTTCTTTGTCGTTGCCACCTCCCCGCAAATTGCTTGAATTTGCAGGCCGTCCTTGTGTTTCACGCCTCTGACCTGACAAACCTGGTGGTGCAACGGAACACAGGCAAACGTCAACAGCGGAACAACCCTTCGTGCCGGAGAGTAACTTGGAGCCACGGTGAAGATTGTCATGCGCCCAACTGGCTATCCCTTTTACAGAAATACATTACGATCATTGCCCGTTGCTCAGCATGTAGAGGAATGTTTGGCATGCCTGCGGACTTTGACGCTGATGTCTTTGGACTTGGGGTTGGCTTTCACAGCTGTCTTTTTGTAAAAAGTAGCAAACAAAAACAGACCACGGACACCAACCTGAAGACATTTTTGAGAACAGCTCGCTAAAGTCTTTGTGCAAATGCCACCGGGAGCAGGTGGGGGACACAGCACGGGCCCACTTCAGTCCGACGTTGTACGTGGACTGGGCGCGAGCAGTTGTGTGTCAAGTGTGCAGTTCTGTTTGCGGGCACCTGAGAGCAGGAGTTGCAGGAATGGTAGAGTGGGCCTTGGCGTGACATCGCTTCGCTAATACGCAGCATGGCCTCAACTAGCTTCGTCAGTTGGGCTGATAAAATTCATGAATTCATGTGCATGAAGATTCCTCTCTTGGATCCTTCTTGAGTCAGTCTCGTTCATCCAGTCAGTGCTTTCCCCGCAGTTTCCAAGTCGCCGGCTGAAGTCGCCAGTGTTGCTTGCGGCCGAGGGAAGACGTGGCGCCTGCGGCCCGAGATGGGATCCGGATGAATATTTGGGATCCGCTTGGGGTCAAGGGTGAACCTTTTGACGGTCTGACGTTTCCCAATAATGCACACCGCCACACAACACATCTCACAAAAAGGTGTTGCCTGCAGGGCTGCATCATCTTCGCCAGTTTTTCAGCTCTAAACACAACAGCCTTCGCAAGCAGGCTTTTCCATGATGAAGATTCCTTTCCTTGGAGATCCTTATTTCACTCTGAGTTATCACGATTCAGCCAGGCTGTAGAACGCAACAACCCTTTCACAACCAGTACACATCTGATTCAGAATGCTAGGGCAACATTGAGGTTGACGCTTCACAGGTGCAGAGTCTCACTATGTCCACACTTCTTTGCCGCGTTTAAGGTTTCACCTACTGCCTTAACCCGTAGTCTAGGTCCAGTTTTGGCTCTCTCGGAATTCTTCCCAGTTCCCGAAGAGCTCTGGATTTGTTTCACCTTTGCGTTTCTCCTACCGTGCCACTCATTCAGACAGGTTCTTGCCTTGACCGGTGTGCAATGGTGCCTTCTTTGCGCTCGCAATCCCTGGAGCGCAATCTGTTGCCCGCAATGGTCGCCCTTGCCACAATACCTCGCGAACTGGAACAAGCTCTGCTAGAGCAGGACTTCTTACTTGACGGAAACCGGCCAGACATCAAGCTGAGGCCGTGCGGTCCACTTCTCCGGCCAGGCTGCGAGGCTGTGGGGTGCTCGTCATTGTGTTTGGACTTCTTAGTGCAAGGGGACCTTAGTGCCGGCTTTTGGACGGAAGCCAACAACCCCATGTTGCTTGTGGTCACAAGACCTTGTTCGCTGTGGAGAACGAGAATAATTTACAACCCCTATCAAAGCGATGCATGTCAGCTCACTGTTAGCCACTTGTTTGTGGCTTTGGGTTGAACACCAGGCCGTGCAAGCCCTTTTGGGTTCCAAGCTTTCCCAGCGATCTTGGATTCAAGCAACCGGTCACGCGAGCCCACAATACACTAGCTGGCCGATATTCGTCCGCTCACGTCACATCAAGTTGCTTTTTAAGACGAATCCCAGCCGGCCATCATGTTATATAATGTTTAGGTCACACAATGACTTTGTTCATGATGCCCGAGCAAACAGGTCAAGATTAATCCTAGATGGCGGGCATGTCGCATGAGCGCGCTACTTTGTGCACGTCGTGCTATCTTGGCACGCCTTGCAGAGACGGTTCTGGAAGACACACACACACACATACACACACCCACCCACCATGATTTTGCCATCGCTAGTCCTGGGACAAGGGGAAGAGGGACATTTGGGTCAAGGCAAGAGGGGGTGTATTTCTGTTCTTTGTGCCGTTGCACCAGCGCCGGGTGTGATTTGTGTGTGGAACCATTGCAAAGCAACACGGAGCTTCTATTTGTGAATACGATTATGACATTTTGCTTGGACAGTCGCAATATGAACATCTTTTGGCGGTGGCTTTCCCCAAACTGATCCCTTGGATCCATTCGGCGGTGTCTTTTGTGAGGCAGCTGGTTTTGTCAAATGGGAACCGGGGAAGGGGAAGCTCGCCATTTTGGGGCCAGGTGCGGATCCGCCGGGTGCCTGGGACAGTGGCTGAAGATGACGCACTCCCCAATTCTTCCCCCATTCGCATGGGGAGACTCGTGGGTCTGACGCAGCGGAAGTTTGCAGGTTCTTGCGTTCGGGATAGGTGGGCGAAGGAGGGCAGTCTTAGAGACGGAGCTTCTACTCGGTGCCCATGCTACCTCAGAACTGAACATTTTGACACGTGGATGGGGGTATTTTCAAGTTTAGGTCGACCACCCTGTTTCTGATATTTGATCTAATGCAGTCAAGGGGCAGTCGTGTTTGTTCGAGGCCTGCCCCCCATGGCTGCATCGGCTGGCTTCATCTGCGCTGGCATGGCTCCCGGACGTGCGCTTTCGACGGTCACGTGTTGAGACGGGACAGGCGGGCAGGTGGGGCAGGCGGGCAGAGAGTTATGTACCCGTCCTCCCACCACTGCGAGAGGGTACCTCTCTTTGTAGTGAGCTTAGAGCTTCGCTTCAGGTTTTGAGCAACCCTTTTGCAAGTCAGTCATTCTTGAGACGTTGGAAGTGCCTCCGACAGACTGTTTCCGCAACTCCGGCTCAAAGCACCAAAGGTGCCCCTGCGCCGTTCCTCTCACCTCTGAGGACTGGCGGTTAAGTCGTTTGTTTCGGCAACCCCCCTCATTCAACTCACATGTTGCAGGGACACCCACAAACATCCTCTAAAGCTCAAAAGGCTTGCCGCTGACGACGGGGGGTGCCATAATCTGATAGTGAACATTTGAACTTTATCCTGTCCACGCCAAAGTTGCCGGAGCCCCAGCCGGTTGAGTGACATCCTCTTCGCTGGACGGGTGGGCGTGGAACATGTGTCAACATGTAGATCTGTTGTTTGGCGGGCAACATGGACACCAATGAATTCCTGAAAAGGGTCTACTTGTTTTTGGTTTTCTACTTGACCTTCATGTCGCAAATCCGTTGAACACTTCAAGTTGCTGCAATTTGTTGGGTTGCACAAGGTGATCATGGAGCGCCCAGCCCGGTCGTCCATTAGGCGGGGTGTTGCCTCACAGATTTCGCGTGCAAGAGCACGTGGTTTTCTCTTCATGAAGTATGGTACGGCCTGAGAAGCATGTCATCGGTATTGCAATGCAAATCCTTTGTTTGACCCTTGATCCGAAAGTGGCCAAGATCTCGACAAAGCCGCTGCAGTTCGGCAAACCTGGCATTCCTGCCGCCGAGTGTCTGACCCCCACACCCGTTCTTGCTGGCCATTTTCGCAAGAACCGATTCTCCAAAACGCTGGCCGGCCCTGCGAGATGCTTCTCTTGCAGGCAGCAGGAGTCGATGCCCTTGATTATGCAGGGCCACACCTCGCTGAGCTTCGTAGCCCAAACGGGCCTCACCAACTTCCAGCTGCTCCAGGCGCAGATCCGGCGAAAACTGCGGGCGAATCCGCGCGGGTGGGGAGTGTGCGTCTGTGTGCAGCTGTCAGGCCCCAGGTGCCTGGGCGTTTTTAAGTTTATGAGACCTGATACCAGCCCTGGAGATTCTCAAGGGTTCTGCTGTTGGGTGCCCTAGGCACAGGGAAGGAGGGAAACGCCTTCGCGGTGTGTGTGAAAGGCCCACCTTTTCCGTGTGAAATCTTCCAGAATGCGTAGAACCTCCGCACACCCATTGGAGGGTTGCTGCTTAAGCAGCTTGAGACATTTGCATCGAGCAGCTTCAACCAGTAGCCATATGCTTCATGACGAGACATGGTCATCCCGCAAGCTACACAAGGGTCACCCGCAGAGGCCAAGAATTCGGAGCTATTTGGGGCTGTTTGGGCTGCTTCTTGGGGAGCAATCAGAACAAACTGAAAAGGGATGAGATCAGATGGAGGTTTGTTCTGATTCCAGAGACCCAAAAACAAACAACCATCCCTGTAACAAACGTGTCTCTGACGGATTCCAAAAGCAAAGAGATCAGATGGACGCTTGCCAGACCCTCCTAGCAGTGGTCTTCCTGCTGCACGCAGCCGACGGCGCAATGCTGCCGGGGATCTTCAAGGCGCAGCTGGGCCTTCGGGCCTTGTGACCGGTGAGTTTGTGCTTTGGGGGCGGAGGGTCCAGAGTCCAGGTCGTTGCAGCTCATTTCCGGAATTTGGTGTGTGAAACCTTCCAAGTTTTTTGAGAAGGACTTCGCATGGCTTTGCACATGCGAGCGAGTGATGTTCGAGCAGCATGGTTTGGCTGCTTCTTTTCATTATCATTGTCATTTGTTCATAGGATGGCTCTTCAACGCTTCTTTTTCCTTCAGCCAGAAAACCAAGAGCAGCAACCTGCACAAACCGCGGCTGCACTATTCATAGGACTTTGTCATTTAGTCTCAATTTCAATCCTCACCCAAAATCGGGCTGTTCAATATCATTTGCGATTTTTCCGTGAAGGAGACGGGGCTGCCGCGACTCAAGAGGGGACATCTCCTTGGAATCCAATTTGCGGTGATTGGATGGGGTGAGCTTGAGCCATGATGCTATCTATTGAGGAGGACCTCGTGACGAAATGTTGAAGCCAAAAGAAGCGGCATTCCTTTGAGGTATTCTGGGTACCTCGAATTTCCGATGACCAATATGTAGATGCAAACTCAGCCATTCTTTACCGCCACCTAGTAGAAGCTTCTGAGATACAGGATGAAAACCTCCGGGGATTCTCTGCTTAGGCGCTGGAGGAAGGCTTGGAGGATGCCACGCCGGTCGGGGCACCGAAGGGGAGAGAAATGCAACACGTTTGGCCATTGGTTGCAGGCTTGGTTGCAGCAAGCAATAGCTAGGTGACCGAGAAGTCTCACCTTTTTCCCCTCCCGAAAGGTACGTTTTTTTTTTTTTGGTGATTGGAGCACTTTCTATTTTCAGCGTGAATCTGCAGGGTTCGGTCGGTTGGCAAGTCACTGCTCAGATACGCGCTAGGGTGAATGCCTCAGCCACTTGCAATATGTAAGGCTCCAACCACAGTAGCACGATCGCTGCGGTCAGGTTTTGGCCGTACGCAATGCTGCTCATTTTTATTTACATTGTCGACCATCAGGCTGCATCAGTTGAAGAACAAGTTGGTATTCACCGGGTAGTAGCCACAAGAGTGCAGTTGGAACTACTCGTATGGCGCCCGAACTGTAAATTGGGGCAAGCAGATCGAGAATGGACTCTGTCCACCGGCTTGGAACCAGGAGAGCAGTATAACTGCCGAGTGATCTCAGCGTCTTTCTTTTGTCAGGCGTTTCCGGCACTTCTCGGGTGCTAGGTTTTCCCGCTTCTTCACTGGAGAGGTTTCCTTTGGTGAGCTTCCTGGCCTCCGAGGTGTCCCTGGGGGGAATCGTTTTCGTGGAGGCCATCTTCCACAGCTTCGCCGTCCTGGCGCTTCGGCTAAGGATGTGCAACCATGGGCCCGTGCGGGTGTGCTTTTTTGCGAGGGTACGCTTTTGTACTTGGTCTGAAGGGAAACCAAAAGGACCAACACCATTTTGGGATCACCAGTTTTAGGGTCCCCGCTATTTTGAGACACATACCAAGACCGGCCAGGCATTTCTGCAGGAAAAAGCTGATGTGATGGAAAGAGTTAGAATTGGAGCAGATGTATCTGCTGGGCAAAGTATGTGCCAGGCCAACACATATGCCGGATGCACGAGACCTTATTGATGAGCACTGATATCGTTCATATCCATTCAATGGCTCTCGATGGCTTGCATCAGGCCAACTGCTGCATCCTCCACTCGGGTGCTATCACATGCATTCCGCTTCAAAGCACAGACCCTGGGGGTCGACATGTCGGTCAACATATCCGTCTATGGTCCGCTTGGTGGGGAATTCAAACCAAAACCCGCAAAATTGGGGGAGGAGGGTGTCTATTGCGGGACCGCATGTCTCCTGGCTCACAGCATGTGAGCATCGTCCCTTGCGAGGATGCTTGTCAAGGGTGTTATGTCCTTAACCTGGCAAGACTTGGTGGCTGCTTTTTTTCATCCTGCTACTACTACTGCTACTGCTACTGCTACTGCTACTACTGCTACTGCTACTGCTACTGCTACTGCTACTACCTCTACCTGTTACTACTACTACTACTACTACTTCTACTACTGTTAGAACTTCTGCTACTACTACTACCTCTACCTGTTACTACTACTACTACTACTGCTGCTGCTGCTGCTGCTGCTGCTGCTGCTGCTGCCACTACTACTACTACTACTACCTCTACCTGCTACTACTACTACTACTACTGCTAGAACTGTTAGTACTTCTACTACTACTACTACTACTACTACTACTACTACTACCTCTACCTGTTACTACTACTACTACTACTACTACTACTACTACTACTACTACTACTACTACTACTACTACTACTACTACTACTACTACTACTACTACTATTTCCGCTGTTGCTGCTGCTGCAACTGCCACTGCTGCTGCTGCTGCTACTGCTACTGCTACTGGAGGTTTGTCCGCGGCCATCGGGCGCCATGCTCTGGGACCCCTTAAAGACGTGGCCGGCCGGAATTTTGTTCGATTCCGTGTTGGGACACGCCAGCCAACCGATCCAATGTTTTCAGCACATGGAGAGGCCGCGCCTTAAAGCCTGAACAGTGTTGGCCCTAAACGCAAACCTTGAACCCTAAAAACTCGGCGTTTTCTTCGAATTTCATTTTGCGCCCGAGACCCTTGCGGACTTTGGGCTGGTCGACCCTCAATTTTTCTGAATTTTCAAGCTGGCCTCTGCAGACTTTGGGCAGGTCGGATTGCTCTTGCTAAACCGCCGAGCCGGTGGGACTTCTGCTCGAGCGCTGGTTGTTTGGCGCCCGCTCGAGGAATCAAATTTCCACCTCAAACTTTTCCTATCAAAGCTTCTACTAGAATTCTACAGCTGGCATCCTTTTGCTGGTCCCGGACATGTATTCGCTTGGCTGCGAGGCCCTTGGCGAAATCTTTGTCGCAACGCCGCGGCTTCTTTGTCGCGTCGGACCGAGCGATGAATGTCCAACGTACGATGTGTTAGCGGCTTGGTAGTCGGCTGCAAGTGGTGGGATTGAAGTCGAAGCTCTTGATGAGCTGTACTTTGGACATCTTCTATGTTTTAAATCCCGAGAACCCAAAGCTCAAGCTCGAAACAGCAAGCAGGTGAGGGGGCTGGCGCTACTACTAGTTCTCATAGTAGTAGTAGTGGTCGTCGTGGTACTGCTGCTCCTACTCCTACTCCTACTCCTACTCCTACTACTACTACTACTACTACTACTACTACTACTACTACCACTGCTACTGCTACTGCTATTGCTACTGCTACTGCTACTGCTACTGCTACATTAACATCTACTTCCGGGTATGTGCTTCTTGTG